AGAGAGAGAGAGAGAGAGAGAGAGAGAGAGAGAATAAGATATTGGAAGATCTTCAGAAGGTAAGGATCGGATGTTGAAAATGTTCAAATGAAAGAGAATAGTCTGATAGAAAAAAGGCTTGAAAATGAAAAAAAAAAAGAGATTCCTTTGACGAAATGCAAAATATGTAATCTCTTGACAATTCATAACGTGGTTGTTACGATAGAAAGCGGTAATTTATAATTTTCAGACATTACGGGATTTCGGTTTTGACAGAAGTGGAAAATGGAAATGGAAAAAAATTATTTTTTTTCTTCGCTTTTCTGTTTTTTTTTTGTTCTTTCAAATTTTGATTTCGGCTGAATGTGCTGAGGAGATAGAAGCTGCATCAAGAGACAGACAGGTGAAACAGGCATGAGTCTTCTCCATATGGCTTAATCTTTCAAATATTGTAAATTACAGACGACAAAGAGCGGCATTCCATTTATGGCAATATCAATGCATCCATATCTGTTAATTCATGTGTTGAAAGCTACCGAATATAGACTTTATAACCAAAACAAGCTCAAGATTTTTCTTGAACGCAAAAAAAAACCAAATGATTATGGTAGACGGTTTAAATATGAGAAAAATTTTTTTTTTACATCATCATCGGAAGCGATGGCTTTACGAAAACTGGAAAATCATATGAAACGATCTCAAATGAAATCAGGTTTGAAGATGTTTCAGACGCTTTGTCGAGAAATTCGTTTTTTTCATTAAAACGGATTCGAGACATCAGTATTGGATGGCAAACTTCTGTGGGTTTCTCGTTCTGCTCCTCTCTCTCTCTCTCTCTCTCTCTCTCTCTCTCTCTCCCTCTTTGTTCCCTCCTCTCTTTGACTCGTTCCTTCCCTCTCTCTATATATCTCTTTAATCTCTTTTTCTCTATCTTTCTACCCTGGATTTATTCAAAACTAAAAAGTTGATCTTCGAAATATAGTCTACGATAAACTGAACGCCAGTGATCTCAAACAACATCATGTGAATGCTCTGCACATAAATGATCATTTAAGCTTAATTTTACCTGTGCATGATTCATCGTTGATGCAGAAATCATAAGAGCGTACACAAATTTCAATTCCATGTAAATAATTTTATTTTTTTTGCGAATTTGGAAGAAAACTCTTGTTTATCATATCATCCATCTTGAAAAAAACAACTTATCAACTTGCTTGCAAGCGGTTTGATATAACCTGAATATCAGAGTAGTTTTGCTCATTAAAAATAATTTATAAAATTCTATTCCATGTGTATTGAAATCCAAGGGGAACAGAGGAAGAATGGAGTGTATGAAGCTGAACTAGCACTCTTAAAAATAGAAATGATAGTTTTTGAATATAATTGATTGCCGTTTGCAGACGCATCACAAGCTTAACATGGAGCCAAAGATTCTGAAGTAGTTCAGAGTGTGTTTGATGATAATGATTGTCGAGCACGACCGCTAATTCTTTCCTTTAATTGTTAAAATGAAAGTATGTGAATGTGTGCATCTTCTGTGTTTTCATTCTGTTTCAGATGATGGAAAAATTTTCGGTCGTTCATTATGCGGGTTATGCAATATCATATATTGATGCCGATATGATGTTATAGCTTGTTATTTGAAGATTCAAAGAGATGTTTGAAATACACATGGTTATAATGAACATAGATAATTGTTGTTAACATTGATTTATAAAAGCAGCAGCTAGGAATATGAACTTGAGCAGTATTACACTCTTGTGGCAATGCGCGTGCTCTGTACGATGTACGATGTGTAGAAGACAGTCATGACCATCTTTGTAAGCTGTTCTATAGCATATTCTATTATTTCTCAGTATTGTACCTTCTTCCATCTGCTTCATATTTTTTTGTCTTTCTTCATGCCGTGTTCTCATTTCCACCTAAGCTCCATGACCGTTATTGAGTAGTAGCTTTTGAGAGGTTCTCTTGTTCAGTCTCGTTTCTCTCCATTAACAGTTTTTTTCTTTTTTTTTCGAAAAGTTTTTTTTGTTTGCTTCCCTCTCACAAAGTATCAGATCAGACGTCATTTATACCTTTCCAAAACATTTTTTGTTCAAAATTTTCCTGTTTCTTCTGTTTTTCTTTCTTATTATTCTGTGTGTGTGTTAATTTTGTACTTTCTACTGTCAGTTTTGGAAGGAAGAATAGAACAAAGTTTTAAATTGCTTTTCCAAACGATAGCCTCAAAGGATTTCTGAATATGGAAAAAGGACGCTTGACGAGATGAAGAGGAGGAAAAAGAAGCTGAGATATAGACTGTGGCTGTATACTGTTGAGGGATTCTTCAACTGCAAAAAAATTTTTTTTTGATTGGTAAGATATAAAAAGGAATTTTTATTTATTTTTATATTCTCACTCGATGTCATCCTATCATAATGAAAAACAAAAAAATTGAAAAATTTAAGAGCAAAAATTACTTTTTTTCTTTCTTTCGCCTTCAATTAGTAATATAGGAAGGAGGGACTATTTGGACATCTGTCATTTTGACACATTTTCATTCCGTGAAGTCTAAGAATCTTCCCATCCTACCCCAAGCTTCTGTGTTTCCTAAGAACACTTCTCTTACTAAAGTGCTCTATTTATTCTAACAAAGCAGG